CCACCCCCACGGCACCCTGCAGCCCACTGCCCTCTGCTGGTGAAACCCGAGGTCAGGACGGACAATAGCGCCCATTGTCCCAGGGGCTCTGGCCAGGCCGGGAGGACTCAGACACACCCTCGGACGGAGGGACCCACGGCACAGGGCGCGCAGGGAAGCCCGAGCCAGGAGCCCGGACCGATGGGGCCGCGCAGGCTCTGCGAGCGGACGGGCCTGCCGGACGGGCAGTCCCAGCGCCGGTCACAGTCTGAGGGGCAGGAGACAGTATGGGCTGCAGGACGGGCAGGGCCGGGGCCGGGAGGGCAGCGGGTCATCAGCGCCCGGTCCGCCGGCCGGCCGACCACGAGCTGCCCATTCCCCAGCAGAGGGGCGAGTCCCTCCCCCCCACCGGAGCACCGGGCCCTCTCCCCGCACAGCCCGGAGGGAGGGCCACGAGCCGGCCGGCACGTGAGCCTCAGGACGTGTTCTCCCAGAGCCACGTGTGGTGCCATGGCTTCTCCCGCTGCCCAGCTCTGCCTCGGGGGGAGGCCGCCCCGGCCACGGACGGACAGACCCACGGACCAGCCGGCCAGGCACCATAGTCGCCCGGGTCAGCGTGGGGCCAGAGGCAGCGGCCGCCCGGGCTGATGGAGCAGCAGCTGCAGTTAAACTTCCCGCACCCACAGCGCGAGGACAGAAAGGGTCCTCGTTTCCTCTCGTCCCGGCGTGGTCGGGAGGGCTCCCTCGGCTGCGGGAGGATTAACGAAGGTTTGAACCTTCCCTCCAGGCCCAGCTGCTGTGGCTCCACTGGCTGGAGCCGTCCTGGCCCAGGGCACACAGCCAGGTTGTGGGTTCGATACCCGATGGGGGCACATAAGGAGGCAATCAATCGATCCATGGATGGATCGATGTTTCCCTCTCTCCCCCCCCCCCCTAAAATCAGTGGAACAGAAACGGCCGGAGGGAGAGGGAACCCCGGCTTTAGGAGGAAAGCGACCCCTCACCGAACCCCGGTTCCAAGGCCCCGTCCCCGCCAACCGCATGGATCCCCGAGATCAGGACCCCCAAGATCAGGATCCCCGAGACTGAACTGGCCAAGGGGAGCAGCGCTTCGGGGCGCAGCGGGAGGGAGGCTGTGCGTCCGGGAGCCGGGGGTCGCAGGACGGTGGGGGGGCCGGGGCTGCGTGTCCAGCTGAGCCCTGGCCGGGCACAGACCGGGGCGAGGGCCTCTGACAGGAAGGAAATGGCCGGGCAGCAGAGCGGGAGGAAGCCCTGCAGCTCCCCGAGGGCGTTCGCTGGGACCCACCGAGCGGATCCACCTGCAGGCGGAGGCGGAGGCGCCCAGACGAGACGCACCTGCCCGCCCTCGGGGTCTGGCTCGGGGAGGCCGGACCCACCTGATGGCAGTCCAGAGGAGGCTCCCAGCCCGGCCCCCTCGGCTCCCGGACTGGCCGCTCCCAGACCAGTCCCCTCGCTGGAGAAGCTGACATTTGAGTTTTAATTTATTCCCATGAAGACGGGGAGCCCGGGAGGCCTCGCTGGGACGCCCTCCCCCCCCCACCCCCCCCCCACACACACACACGTGGGGAGCAGCTGGGCCACAGCCTGCCAGGCAGGGCTTCCCGGATCTGCCAAAAGCAGACAAAGACATTCCAGCCCAGAACAAGAGGAGGGGGGGGGAGGGCTCATTATCGGCAAAGACAGGTCACACCCCACCCGGCAGGCCCAGAACCGTCCCATCCTGTGATCGATGAGGCTTTTGTTTTTCCTGAAAGACAATGCGTGCGGGGCGGCGGGTGGGGGAGCTGTAAGAGACGTAACCAATGGACACAAGGGGGGGGAGGGGCGGAGGCATATGCGGGGGCAGGGGAGTCTGGGGGAGGTCAAGGGGGAAAAAGGAGACATACATACTACTATGTGTAATGCTTCGAACAATAAAAAATAAAATTAAATTTAAAAAAATGGGGAAAAAAGAAAAGAAAATGGGTGCAAAGGTCAGAACTGGGTCTGCCCGCAGATGGCCGGTCCTGCAGGGGGCCCCACCGCTCCCCGAGGGGCGCCAGCCAGGGACCCGCGGGGCCGGCCGGCTCTGAGCACCTGAAGGCCGGGCGGGCAAGGTGGCGGCCGTCACCAGAGGGCAGTCAGGGGGCACGCCCCCCGGAGTCTCCGTGAGGGCGACCCGGGACGAGGCGCCTCCTGGGTCACCGGAGATCGCTGGGTGGGTTCTGGGGGTCAGTGCCCCCCGTGTCTCTACCCTGCAGGGTGCTGGGAGACCAAGCGGCCAGGCAACAATGTCCAGAACCGATCAAAGTACGACAACCAGCCTTATCCGGACCGGGAGCGCGGACCGAGACCGACTCAGACCGAGACAGACTCGGAACCAGACTCCCTCCCTCGGCCCCACTGGGACCATCCGCCCGGCACCCCAGGACTTGCTGCTTGTGGTAGCATCTGAGAGACACCAGGACTCAGGGAGGAAAGAGTAACTTGAATTTTCAAAATTAATCCCAAGAAAGAATTCACGCTGTGGGTGATACTACACAATGTCAATAACCAATAATCACGCCGAGGAGAACACGCACCGGCTGGGACGCTGGCACCGAGAACCGCTCCGTGACGTTCCTTCCCACACCAGAGGAGCGTCTGCCAGCAGGACAGGCGTGTGAGGGTGTCGGGTGCAGCACCCCGAGCTCACCCCATTCCCAGCACAGCCAGGACCCCGGCCGACCAGCTCCAGGGAGACTCGGATGTCCTCACCCCCACGGAGCCCCATTCAGACAGGTGCAGCTGCTTTTTAAAACATACACATTTTTTACTGATTTCAGAGAGGCAGGGAGAAGGGGGGAGAGAGAAACCTCAATGACGGGAGAGAATCCTGGATCGGCTGCCTCCTGCACACCCCCCTGGGGATCCAGCCCGAAACCCGGGCTTGTGCCCTGACCGGGAATCAAACCGTAGCCTCCCGGTTCCTAGGTCGAGGCTCAGCCCCTGAGCCACGCCAGCTGGGCAAGTTTTTTTTTTAAAGTTACATTTACCAAAAAAAATTAACTCAACTTAGACGCCTCGTTTCCATGTGCCCCAAAGCAGCAGGACCTGGGCTTAGTGGCCTGGACCCTGGTCCGGACCGGGTGCTGGGCCCCGAAGACACAGGAGCTTGGCCCCACACACACACACACACACACACACTGGGCGAGGGGAGCCGAGGCCCGGTGCCAGGCCCAGCCGGCCCCACACGTGCCTCCTCGTCTGTTCCAGGTTCTTCCCGTGGCCAGCACGTGGGCACCTGGGCCCCGAAGGCTGAGGGCCGGCCAGCATGCCCGGCGACAGGCACAGACAGCAGCCCCTGCACCCAGGGCCCAGATCCCAGAGACGCCTGGAACCTCCGCAGCCCAGCCCTTCCGTCCCCAAACCCGTTCCTGTTCAGTTTGGAAGTCAGGTGCCGTGGAGAGGAGCAATCACTAATGAAAACCGGAGCGAGGACAACTAGCCGTGATCACAGCTGTGTGGGGGCAGGGGCCTCCTGTGATCCTCCCACAGATCCCCCTCAGACAGATCCCCCACAGACAGGTCCCCTCCCACGGAGAGATTCCCCCACGGACAGGTCCCCCCACGAACAGATCCTCCCCACAGACAGATCCCCCCACGGACAGGTCCCCCCACGAACAGATCCTCCCCACAGACAGATCCCCCCCACGGACAGACCCCCCACGAACAGGTCCCCTCCCACGGACAGATCCCCCCACGGACAGGCCCCCCCACGGAGAGATTTCCCCCACAGACAGATCCCCCCCACGCTCAGATCCCCCCACGGCTTCGGGCCGCTGGGAAGTGAAACGGGCCGGTGCCCGAACCGGCGCGGTGCCCGCTGGTCTGAGCGGGGGCCGCCCGGTGAGTAACGGTCCGGTGAGACGGGTGAGTCAGGTTCGGGGGTGGCGGGGTGCGGATGGAGTGAGATCTCAACGGGCGACCAAACAGCCTGCAACTCACAACTCACACACGCTTGTTTCCAGCTGTGCGGCGGCCAGGATGGGGTCCCCCCACCCGGGGTGCGCCCTGCAGCCCCCGCCCCCAACCGGGGGCCTCCAGCCGCCCCGGGCGAGTCCACGGAGGACCGAGCCGCCGGCTCCGGACAAACGGCCCCGATTCCCAGGAACCGGGGGAGCGCCCTCCTCCCGGCCCGACCCCGCTCCTCCCCAGCGCCGGGGGCCCCGCGGGCGGCACCCCATTCCCGCCTTTTCCCCCAAAACGCCCTCGGGACGCGGGAAGGGCTCGGGCCCCGCTTTCCCGCCGCCCCCGAGGCGCAGCGTCCGCGCGGGCGGGTTCCTCCGCCCCCGGCCCGCAGGTCCCGGCGGAGCAGCCCGCCCGGCGGTGGAAACTATGCCCGGCATCCGCGCGCAGGGGCCGGCAGCCAGCGCCGGAGGGACCGGCATCCGGGAAGGCACGGCCTCCGCCCCGGCCGCCCCTCCAGCCGGTCAGCGCCTGGAGTCCCGCGCCCTCGGGTCCCCGCGCCCCGTCCGGGGGCCGATCGTGGCCTCCGGGGCCGAGCGGGTCCGCGGCGTCCGGTCCACTCGCGATCGGACCTCGGCGCCCGGTGCGCGGACAGGCTCCCCGGGAGGAGCGGCGGGAGAAGGGAGAGGGGAGGGAGGGCGCACGGAGGGGGCGGAGGGAGGGGGACCCGGCGAGCGGGGCTTCCCCGGCTCCTCCACGACGTGCCCGGCGGCGGGGACTCCGGCTCCGAACAAAGGCGGCTCCGGAGGCCGCGCCCCGCGCCCGGGTCCGCCCTCCGCGCCGCCGGCCGAGCGGACAAAAGCCCGCGGCCCCCGGCCAGCAACACCCGCTCCCCCGCCCGGGGCTCCAGGTTCCCGGCCGAGATCGCAGACCGTCTGTGCCCCAGACCCTGAGCCCCCGGCCCCGGCCCCGCGCCCCCGGCCCCTCGGCCCCGGCCCCGGCCCCGGCCCCGCGCCCCCGGCCCCGGCCCCGCGCCCCCGGCCCCGCGCCCCCGGCCGCCCGGCCGCACTCACAGGATGGAGGTCGGCGGCGCCACGGCGGGCACGGCCTCCAGCAGCAGATGCATGCAGCGCACGGTGCTGCGGAAGCACAGGCAGCGGCTGGGGCACCCCGCGCCCGGCCTCTGAGCCTCCGCGGCCGGCGGCGCCCACACGCCGCACAGCAGCAGCGCCAGCAGCAGCCCGGGGCGCGCGGGGCGCACGGCCATGGCAGGGGCACTGCGCTCGGACGGGCGCTCGGACGCACAGACCGCGGAGGCCCCGCGCCTCCCAGGCCGGCTCCGGACTGCCCGCCCGCCCGCCGCCTGTGGCCTAGTCCCGGCTGCGCGGGGGGCGGGAGGCGGGGGGCGGGAGGCGGGGGGCGCACATGCGCGGCTTCCCCGTCCCACCTCCACCCCCACCTCCCCGGGGCCGGGCCGGGCCGGGCCGGGCCGGGCGGGGCGGGGCGAGGACCTCCGGCCCCACGTCCGCACGCTGGGTCCCTCCTTCCCTCCCTCCCTTCCTCCCTCTCCCCGCGGGGCTCCCGAGGGCCAGGGGCTCAGGGGCTCAGTCCCAGATCTGCCCTGGGCCCCTGTAGGCCGCGGTTCCCCCATGTGTGCGAGGCTTTTGTTGTTTTATGAAACTTCCCGAACGTTTCCCCGTCCCAGGCAGGAGTCCAAGCTGGTGCTCCCTCCTCCTCCTCCTCCTCCTCCTCCTCTTCTTCTTCTTCTTCTTCTCTCTCTTTCTCTCTCTCTCCCCCTCTCTCCCTCTCTCCCTCTCTCCTCTCTCCTCTCTCCTCCCTCTTCTCTCCTCTCTCCGCTTTTCTCTCCTCTTTCCTCTCTCCTTTTCTCGCCTCTTCTCTCCTCTCTCTCTCCTCCCCCCTCTGTCTCTGTCTCTCCTTTGCCTCTCTCTCCACACACACACACACACACACGCACACACACACACAGGGAGCTGGGCAGCCCTCCTGAGACCCCAGGCCTGTTAACAGCCCACCTCCTGCCCCTGCCCCTCCAGGCACCGCTGGGAGCAAAGCTGGTGCAGGGCCAGGCCGGGCTGGGATGCCCCAGGCCCTGGGCCCTCCCTGTGGTCCAGAGGAAACCTGCTCACCACTGCCCACAGCGGGCTGGGTAAAGCACGGGAGGTGCACAGACGAGGGAGAGGGAGAGAGGGGCTGGTTACAAACACGTCTGTGGTTGCATTCTGACACTTTGCACATATTTCCCGGCTCCACTGGGTCCTCCTCTTGACAGGTCAGCTTTGACCTGTGACCCTGTCCCGACCCCTCCGTTCCATGGGGGACCCTCGTGCACCCAGTAGGCGTTAGCTTCTCTCAAGCTCACCTGCCGTGACCAGTCGTGACCTTGACTTCAGGGGTCACGGTGTGGCACCCAGACAGCAAACACTAACCGGGGTGGCGTGGAGGCATCTTGAGGGGGGGCTGGTGCTGGTTAACTGCCATGTGCTGGAGCTAAGGAGACCGCCCTCGTCATGTCGTGGCCTCAGCCCGCAGAGTAAGGTATTAAGTGAAAATCCCAGGAAGAGACTCAGCCTGGAGTCAGTAGCCCCCGTTCCTGAGTGCAAGTCCTTGGCCACCCTGGGATTGGGGCCCTGCCAGCACCCACGACTGCATGAGCCAATTCCTTTAACTCTACCTGTCCACCCCTCCTTCCTTTCTTCCTTCCTACATCCTATCCATCCATGTATCCTTTTATCCACCCATCCATCCATCCATCCATCGTCCATCAACCCACCCACACACCCATCCATCTACCCACCCACCCACCATCCACCCACCCACCCACCATCTATCCATCCATTATCCACCCATCCATCCATCCATCCATCGTCCATCAACCCACCCGCACACCCATCCATCTACCCACCCACCATCCACCCATCCACCCAACCACTCACCCATACACCCACCATCCATCCATCTATCCATCCATCCATCCATTCACCCACCATCCACCCACCGTTCATGCACCATCCACTCACCCAGTGTTCACCCACTCACCCACCATCCATACCATAGAGCTTGCTCTTCTCTGGAGACCCTGCCTGGCATGCAGCCACATGCAGGGCGTTGGGTGTGAAGCTGTGGTGGGGTGAGGGCCACGCCTCCATGATTCAGGCCTGGGGGAATTTACATTCAGCAATGAGCTCTTACATGGAGCTGGATTGCTGGAGGAATCTGGGTCTTTGTTCGTTATTTCCCGAGTCTGCCCTCTAAAGGCCTGTGGGGGCCTCGCACTCTGGGATCCTGACCCTCCCGGAAGCCTCGGAGATTTCTTTGCCCAGACCCAGGTGAAATGTCCCCCTCCCCCCAGACCACTCTCCACAGTGATTACCAGCCCAGGCCTGTTACCGTCTACAGCGAACATCCCCGTCAGCTGCGCTGATGCCACGTGCCCGTTTGCTCGGTTAGATCACCACCCAGAGGAGCAAAGGCTAAGGAGTGGAGGGAGTGCCGGCACCTCCATCCGGTTCCCTCAGAGCCGCCTCCGTGAGGTCTGGTGAAGCCTGGAGACTCAGAGACACCGTGCACCAAGGCCTGTGCCGCCTGCAGTGCTGGAGGCTGAGCTGCTGAGAGGCCACGTGTGGAAAGCGCCTGCAGGGAGCCATTTCCCCCCAAATCTAAAAGGGCCTGGCCTAGGGGGGCCCCAGTGGTTGAGTGTTGACCTATGACCCAGGAGGTCAGGGTTCCATTCCTGTCAGCGCACAGGCCCAGGCTGTGGGCTCCATCCCCAGTGGGGAGCGTACAGGAGGCTGCCGATCCGTGCTTCTCTCTCATCATGGATGTTTCCATCTCTGTCTCCCTCTCCGCAGGCAGGGCCGCTGAGGAACCCAGGCCCAGTGGGAACCCCCACGTGGAGGCCAGTCTCCTGGACAGGCTGCAGAGAAGGGCAGGGGAGGCCAGTCTCCTGGACAGGCTGCAGAGAAGGGCAGGGGAGGTCTCAGCTCGGGGTGTTTTCCCACCAAAGCCCAGCTGCTCGGACCACAGCCGCTCCAACCCAGCACTCACACACGCGCGTGGCCCGACCCTCTGGTCCCAGAGTTCTTGCAGGCCATCGAGCCAACCTGCCGCAGGTTCTGAAGCAGCCGAGCTGGGACAGCTTGCTGGAGGAGTGAGCATGTGCAGCAGGGTGTAGTGAGGGGGGCGCATGAGGAGGGGGCTGGAGGCACCACTGTGGCAGGACCAGAGGGCGGGATGCACAGATGGGGGACTGTCCTCCAGGTGCAGACTGAGGGGGGTGTGTCCTCCAGGTGCAGACTGAGGGGTGTGTGTCCGCCAGGTGCAGATGGAGGGTGTGTCCTCCAGGTGCAGACTGAGGGGGGTGTGTCCTCCAGGTGCAGATGGGGGTGTGTCCTCCAGGTGCAGATGGGGGTGTGTCCTCCAGGTACAGATGGGGGTGTGTCCTCCAGGTGCAGATGGGGGTGTGTCCTCCAGGTACAGATGGGGGTGTGTCCTCCAGGTGCAGATGGGGGATGTCCTCCAGGTGCAGATGGGGGGTGTCCTCCAGGTGCAGACTGAGGGGGGTGTGTCCTCCAGGTGCAGACTGAGGGGGGTGTGTCCTCCAGGTGCAGATGGGGGTGTGTCCTCAGGTGCAGACTGAGGGGGGTGTGTCCTCCAGGTGCAGAGATGAGGTGTGTCCTCCAGGTGCAGATGGGGGTGTGTGTCCTCCAGGTGCAGACTGAGGGAGGTGTGTCCTCCAGGTGCAGACTGAGGGGGGTGTGTCCTCCAGGTGCAGATGGGGTGTGTCCTCCAGGTGAGCCTGACAGGGTGTGTCCTCCAGGTGAGCCTGACAGGGTGTGTCCTCCAGGTGCAGACAGGGGTGTGTCCTTCAGGTGCAGACTGGGGTGTCCTGTGTCCTCCTGGTAGCGAGGGTAGTGGGTTGCTGAATTCTGGCTGGAAGTGGGGGGAGGAGAGAGGAGGAGAATGGAGGGGCGGGTGGTGACAGGCAGCCCTGCTTTTGAGGAGGGGGTGGAGGAGACTTAGCTCCCAGGGGACAAGGGCACCCCTCCCTCGTCACCTTCCGAAGCCCCAGCCCCAGGCACCATCCCATTGGGGCTTTGCTTTCAAAACCTGAAATGTGGGGAGACACTGTCGCTTCCATGGCCATCTCCGTGGGAAAGGAGCATCTGGCAGGAAGAAGGCTGGAGATGGAGCCGCACTCACATGCCCGCCTATAACCGGGAGCTGCCCGCCAGCTCCCACCCCTCCTCGGGCCTCGGCTGCCACGGCCACCAGCACTGACCTGACGGGCATCTGTTGGCATTTAGCGCCTTTTCGCAGGGTCCTCGATGATGCTTTAACGACTGCATTTCCGAGTCGGTGTCTGGTCCCAGGATACTGGGTTTACAGAGGAATCCGGTCCATCTTCTGCTTTTTAACAATTTAACAAAGTGGGTTAAAAATCAAACCGGCAGCCACAGCGGTTATGGCGGAGCCCCAGTGCCTGTGTCCACAGCTCCTCCGGCCATTGTCCTGCCTCTGCCTCAGGTCACTATCCCCCAGGATCAGCCCTCAGGAGGAGGCATGGCCTCGGGGTGCAGAGATCCGGGGACCCACTGACCTGAGCTGGTCTGGAACGAGGGCAGCGAGGCCGTGAGGAGGAAAGCAGGGGGGATCCTCATGGACAGACGCCGTCCAGGCACCTCGGCCTCCTGTGTGTGGGGTTCAGAACGTCCCCGCCCTGGGGAGGAGCTCACGGAGACACGTGACGTGTCCTGGGGGCAGTGACACCCGGGGGAGAGCTCACCCTCCCCAAAGGTGGCTGCCTGGGACCCACGTGGCAAGGCCCAGAAAGAATACGCAGACGCTGGTTAGAGATCCGTCGTGCTACAAATGTGGCAACACCTTTTATTCAGAGGAAAGATGTGTGAACATCAGCATGACAAAGTTTGTACAAAGTTCACAATTTAAAAATGAAGTATCACTGCAACTCGTGATTCCACACATTTTAGCAAAATTAAAGTGTCAACAAACCCATGCCGTGTCGTACAAAAATAAATCAAACTTCAGTTCCACAGAGCACAATAAATATTTATACAAAATTCTGTCTTAATAAATGGCCACTTAAGTTAACTTAGAAATGAATATGAACAATAAGTTATAATAAATAAACTCTGATGACTCACGATAACCCATATGGAAGGTCAGCATTCTAGCGTGGACACTGCGGTCCCCTATGAACAGTCACAGGTAACTGATTGGATATTATTACCAATGTCAGGTGAGCAGCAGATTTGTGCTTAAAACCCCTTTCCATTGCACACGGGTGATAACAAGAATCCGAAACCGAGACTACCTATTACTCTACGAGAAGCATCGCTATATGGCGGGAAGCTGCAGACACAAAGGGGATGCAGGCGCCGATATGGACAGCGGCGGCGGCCGGGGAGTGGCAGCAGGCGCGGGCCCGGCGTCAGCTCTCGAAGGCGATTCTGAGCGCGGCAGCTACAACCAGGCTGACAGAGGGGCCCCGAGCAGCTGCGGAGCCCCGGAACACAGGCCTTCTCCCAGCTCGTCGCGAGTCCTTGTGAGAGCGGGCGTGTGTGCGGGAGCGTATAAAGTGCCGCTGGGTGTGGGTATGTACATGTCCACGAGGTCGGGCATTGGATCAGAGTCTGCGGGAGGCCCGCGGCCCCTCCGCACGGTGTCGGGTCCGCCCGCGGGCCCCGGGTCCTCCGGGCCCTTGCCGCGAGGCTGGGACGTGATTGCACACCTCCGCTCGGACACAGAGGACAGGTGAGTGCAAATAGTCGACTGGCACGTTGTGGGGACAATGACCCTGTAAGTCCTGTTCTGCTAAAAATATTTTTTTAAATTTTTACAAAACCCATCTTTTTTTCATAACAAAATTTTAAAGTACGTTTGTACTTCCTGCGTAACGCCAAGACATGGGAGGAAGTGATGCACGACCCGGCCGCGAGCCCTCGGGCAGAGGTCAGTCCCAGGTTGTCGGGACTCGGCGGACACATCCGGGAGCTCGTGTCAGAGAAAGTGCTGACGTACCTCCAGGACACCTGCGTGGACGGCTCCCTCCGTGGCACTGCCGCCTCCGCAGGTCGGACTCCGGGGCGGGGAGAGAGCTCTCACTGCGCCACAGGCTCACCCGGAGCCGATGTCAGCGGAGACACGCTTCTGAGCAGCTTTGCCACCGAATTCAGCAGAAAATCCAGTTCCATAACTCGAAGACTCATAAGTCCTTTCCCTTTATGCCCCAAATGCAAAATAATAACAACAGCAACGACAGTGTCTAAGGGGGAGGGGAACAAACACTCGGACGTGACCCTGGAGCCGAGGGAGCGGACGCCCTGGCCGGGCTCCCGCAGCAGAGCCGGTGGAGCAGGGACGTGGGAGGGAGGGAGGGAGGGGGCTCAGAGTCACTGGGTGAGGGTCTTCGCTGCCTCCTGCAGCCCCTGCGGGCGCTCGGGTCCCGGTCTCACACACCACGCTCAGGAGCAAACTAGAAAGTGCCGTGTGAGCCGCTCTGCATCTTCTGGCAAGTTCCATGGCTGACGGCCTTACAACACATCACTCATCTCATTTCTTACAGTCAGTCCATGTGCCATTTCCTTGGAATGCAAAAAACCTCACTTACTGCCCCCACCATACACCATCCTCCTAAAACAAACAAACAAAAAATCACATAATATTTCCAAGCATCGTTCAAAAATAAAGCATTTTTTTGCAAACAATTCTTGCTATGAAACAATATGCACACAAAATGTACTTCTTAAATTCCATAAAATCCCCGCCGCGAGGCGAAATGGCGGTGTCTGGACCGTGGCGGCAGCCACCTCAGGGTCATTCAAAGCCGTTTCTCTGTGTCCATTTCAGTTCAAAATACTAAAACACGAACCACTAAGCATTAAAAAGAATGTACACTCTATTTGATCCGCTTACCTCTTCAGAAATATATATATATCCCCCCCCGATGTGCATACATGAGCAGCTATGAACGTTACATGGAGAACACACTATGTCGGCTCATGTGAACATACAAAACGTGAATGTGTCCACCTATCTGCAGGCGCTACTTAAAGCAGGACGTGAGGCCGCGGCAGTCTCGGAGTGGACACTCTCGGACAGACATGCGCACGGGTGCGCGCGGGCGGGGCAGCAGCAGGGCGACAGGCGTCCTTTCTAGCAGGTTCCGCCATACGTCACTGAGCAGCTGGTCAGACCTGAATTCCTCTCACAGCCTGCTTTATATTTTCCAGGAGGGCTTTATTTTCTGGGCTCTGATAACGATCTTGATTTGTATACATGTCCGTCAAAGTAGTCACGTATGCATCAAAATTTTGTTCATTGATTGGGTCCTACGAGATATTAAATAGTAGTTCATACACAGCTTTTACTTTCTTAATAGGATATTCACATCAGCATAAAAAGCATCACCACCTAGGCCCTGTCTGCACCACAGTTACAGCTCCTCAGAGCACACTCCCTCTATGGGCCTGGACCGGCCACCGGGCTCCAGCAGGCAGCGCCACAGCAGGCGGCCACCACAGACATCTCCTCCCGGGGCGCCGGGCAGGCCCAGGGCCCGCCTGCACGCTCAGTCACTTACCAGGAGGCAGCCAAGTGTCAGCCAGACTGTGGGTCAGGGGCTGGCAGGTCGGGAGCTGACTCAGTCACTTACCACGGAGGCAGCTGGGTCTTAGACTGGGGGTCAGGGGCCGGCTGGGCGGGCAGCTCGGGGGAAGACACGCTGACTCACCATGTGCGGCAGCTGGATGTTGGCCAGACTGTGGATCAGCGACTGGCTCAGGTTCGCCAGCTCGTGGAGCAGGGACTCGTTCTGCTGCTCGATCACTTTGTTCTCCTCCTCGATGGTCTTCAGGCTGCTCTCCATGGTGGTGATCTGAGAGGCACAAAGTGGACAGGGAGTGGGCGCCGCCCGCAGGCAGGGGCGCGTCTACCGGTGCAGAGAGAGGCCCCCTTTGCTGAGATGAAAGGTTTCCAAGCTTAAGAGCCTGTCATTTTAAGACGGTGGCCTTCCTGCTCATCCACACAAACACCAGAACCAGGTGACCGACGGCCATTGACTCAGCAACGCCACCCCTACAACTGCAGAGACCGGCGTGGGGGGAGCCAAAGGGCGCCTCCCAGTGCCCGTCCCGCCTGCGCCCGCGGGTGGCAGGGGCAGCTGCAGCCTGGGTGGGTAGCGGGGAGGAGATGGCTGCGGCCCGGGTGGCGGGAAGGGGGAACTGACCTGAGTCCTGAGCTTGATCATGTCGGCCTCCATCTGAGAGTTGGACTCATTCAGCTCCTTGATCTCCTCGTCCAGCTGTTTGATCTCTTCGTCGTTCTCTATGCCTGCCCCGATGAACAGAACCCAAGCAGTTACAGCTTTGCTCGGGGCACACCACCCGAGAATCCCGTGTTCTTATTGGAGACTAGTGACCGGTGCACACTAGTGACTCATGCACCCCGAAAGGAAATTGATTAGAAGGTGGCTGTGAGGTGGGACTGGGTGAGCCGGGCTGGGCACACTCTAGAGCCAACCTCCTGTGGTTCCTCCCCAGCGTCTGCAGAGGAGCAGGGTCCCTGGGCCTGGCCTGCGGGGATCAGGCCAAACCGGCTCTCCGTCATCATCCCATGAGAGATCCCGAGTGCGGGAGGGCACTCTGCAAAGCTGCTGTCAGAGGGAGTGGAACACAAACCAGGTGTGCAGTAACCAGGCTCAGGGACCAGTGCTACAGCACAACATAACCCACGGCCGAAGGAGGAATCGTGTGGCTCCCCCCTCTCTGGTTTCACAGTGCATCACCCGAGAACCACAGCAGCTCGGCAGCTCCTGTGTGAGTGTCTGCCCCCTGCTGATTAGTGTGCATCACTGCGGCCGGCTGGCCAGCTGGACACTTAGCATATTAGCCTTTTATATATATACATAGAAAATAGTCACATGTGTGTGTCCTTCTGTCCCCACCCACGGCCCTCCTTTCGGTTAAGAGCCCTAAAACCAGACACCATCAGCCGGGGTGCACAGACCACCCTGGCCAGAGCCGAGGGGTGACCTCACTCGGCTGGGAGCGCCTCAGGGATGGAAACCTTCCTCGGCTCTGCACCCGTCCTGCAGGGCCAGAGTGCTGGTTGGGGTTACAAGTCACTTCCTGCATGTGGGCACGTGCACAGGGATGGGCCTGCAGGTGGCGCCCCGAGGCTGGCATGTCCTCCACGCCCGATGGGGGGGCAGCACACAGAGGAATGGACTTGGCCCATGGATCAGGAACCCAGACCCGGGGGCTCAGAGTGAAGGCGGAGCGGAGGGGCCCAATTCTGCTCCTTGGAGGAGGCTGGACGGGGGCAGAGGCACCAAATGGGGGGGTCTCGGGGAGAAACCGCTGGAACCCCTGGTGTGGGACCTTGGACATTGCCGGAGACCTGGTGAGAGGTAATGGGTGCTCTGGGGAGGACTCTCTCCCGGGTAACAGGCTTTATCCTAAGGGCAGACCTGGTCCATCCACTTGGTCTCTGGCTGTGCCTGGCTGTGTAAGCCAGAGGACTGAGCGCCGGCCTGTGGCTGCAGCCGGTCCTGACCCGGGGCGGGGTGGTATGAGTGCGCATGGTGGTGTGGATGTGGTGGTGGTGAATGTGGTGTGAGTGTGGGTGGTGTGGGTGGGGGGTGATACGGGGTGGGTGATATGGTGGGTGGTGATGAATATGGTGTGAGTGTAGGTGGTGTGGTTGGGGGGGGTGACATGGGGTGGGTGAGATGGGGTGGGGATGAATGTCGTGTGAGTGTAGGTGGTGTGGTTGGGGGGGTGACATGGCGTGGGTGATATGGGGTGGGGTGATATGGGGTGAGGGGTGATATGGGGTGGGTGATACGGGGTGGGTGGTGGTAGTGGTGGGGGTGGTGATGGTGGTGAGTGGGGGTGCTGTGGATGTGAGTAGTGGTGAATGTGGTGTGTGAGTGGTGTGGTTGGGGGGTGACATGGGGTGGGTGATATGAGGTGTGGGAGGGGGTGATATAGGGTGGGTGATATGGGGTGGGTGACATGGGGGTGGTGGGTAATATGGGGTGTGGGTGGTGTGGGTGGGGGTGATATGGGGTGGGTGACATGGGAGTGGTGGGTGATATGGGGTGTGGGTGGGGGTGATATGGGGTGGGTGATATGGGGTGGGTGACATGGGGGTGGTGGGTAATATGGGGTGTGGGTGGTGTGGGTGGGGGTGATATAGGGTGGGTGACATGGGGGTGGTGGGTGATATGGGTGTGGGTGGGGGTGATATGGGGTAGGTGACATGGGGTGGAGGGTGATATGGGGTGGTGCCGGGTGGGTTACCATTGCTGGCGCGCTGCCGGATGGTCAGCATCTGCTCCCCGGACAGCTTGGCCTTCTTCATCGCCGACGTGGCCCGTGGGCAGCCGGACAAGCTGCGGGGAGACGGAAAGGCATCAGTCGGTCTCGGAGCGGACACGGTTCTGAGCGGCCCGTCACTGCGTCCTCTCCTTCGGCTGCTGTGGCTCAGGGCCACGTGGACACCAGTGGGGCCACGGGCTGGGGTCCCCCGAGGGCAGAGGGAGCCCTCGCTCTGGCGTGGACGGGGTGACACGGACACGCGGTGGGATTAGAACTGAGAGCCAGGCACAGAGGCAGGCAGTGAGCTCGGTGCACACAGCCTCTCGGGGGAAGCACCTTGCTGCCCCCGGAGCCGCTTGGAAGTGGGCAGCATCTCCTCTGAAAGCTCTAGAACTCGTGCCCACACCCCCGGACCAGGGCTGGGTCTGACCCTCCCTCGCTCGGGCTGCCCTGCGCGGAGCCGGTCAGCGGTCCGGGGGCTGATGGCGGCTCCGCTCCGGCCTCCTCCTCCCGTGAGCACGCTCTGCACGGGAGCACCTGGCGGCCACGGCACAGGGTGACGAAGCTGCACACACAGTGAGAACGCGGTTACATCCGGCCGACAACTGTGCACGTCCCTGGGTGCGGTGCGGCCGTCCACGCACAGCGGGCTGGGCCTGCACCACCGTCGACAGTGCAGATCGCTGTGGGTGTGACGGACAGCAGGCTTCCCGAGTTTGCTCTGAGCGTGAGCTCTCCACACAGCTCCCCCGGAGCCGGTGCTGGTCCTGGGGACGGCCCTGGGCCAGGAGTCTCCAAACTGTTCTCTGGACTTTGCTGACGGTGCCTCTGGATTTGCAGGGGATGGGGCAGCGGCCCTCAACCCGGAGGGGTGTCACCAGCCGCAGCCCCAGCCCTCTGCATCCCCAGGGCAGCCTCCAGGGCAGCCCCAGAACTCCAGGGAGCAGACGGGGCCGGAGGCGCCGAGGGCCAGGCGAGCCGTCTCCTGAGGGCTGTCCGTCAGTGACCAGTCTCAGGGGTGTTTTCTGAGCTGACTGCTCCTCAGGCTGCCCCGTCCCCTCCTGGCCTGGCTGGCCCCTCAGAGTGCGCCTCCCCTAGCAGAGCCGGTCCTCGCAGCCCTCTGAGCGGGTCCCTCCGCCTCCCCGTCCCCGCTGGGCGACACGCCCGCAGCGGGAGCGCAGGAAGTGCGTGTGTGTGTGTGTGTGTGTGTGTGTGCGCTCCCCGCATCCTCCCAGCGGTCCCCCACTCTGCCCCCCAGGTCTGTCACTCACAGGGCCAGTCTGTGCCCGCAGGACCCAGCAAGGCCCACTCAGCAGCCTGCCTCCGGGCCGCCAGCTCCGCCCCGTGGGCCTCCTTAGCGGTCTCTGCACACCCAGAGGCCTGTCTGTCCTCTGTCCTCAGGGACCCACCCGCCAACAGGTCTGAGCCCAGTGGTGGGTGCAGATCCACATCGCACACTGGGTGCCCCCAGGATCCTGCCTGGGACCCAGGGGCCAGGATTAAGTTACAGAGCGGCCGGGAGAGTATCCCGAACAGGAGCTCTGGCTCCCAAACCTGGTCTGTCACACAGACCCCAGGCCCTCACCGAGGTCAGAACCCTTAGCTCTCAGGCCCGGGTGATGTCTGCCAAATAGGCGGCAGGCAGCCCCGCCCCGCCGGCCAGTGCCTGCCCGCCAGCCTGCAGATCTGGAACGAGGGCGCAGCGCCATCTGGTGGCGGCTCAGGGAAAAGGCGCACATTACACATTGGTCTCTGGCAGTGCAGTTCTGAGACGAAACCGCGGACAGAAGGACGCTCTGGGCGTGGACCTGGAAGCCACAGAACCTCCGGCCCGGCCGTCCTGTTCTGGGCAGCAAACTGTTAACCGCCCTGTGCCTCCCGCCTCGGCCCGGGCGGCTGCCCTGGCGCCAGCACCAGAGGCTCCGGGCGGGTCCCTGCAGGAGTTGGGGGAGCAGGAGGCCACAGGGCCTGCAGGGGACCCCCCCCTCCCAGGCTCCTTCAGGAGACCCCCTCTCCCCGGAACAGCTAACGAGCAGGAGTCCAGGGTGGCGGCTGCTGCTGGGAGGGAAGGAGCATGGACAACCGCTCGGGGGTGTGGCTGGCACACTTGCTCAGGGAAGTGGGGAGAGGGCGAGCACCCCAGCCAGACCCATGTGCTCAGCTCCCAGGAAATGCACCTCCTCCGCACAACTGCGCATGGCCTGCCTCACTGTCTGTTCTCCCCCGACCCCCTGACACCCTCAGTGAAGGGGGCCAGGCAACAGGCCAGCTCTGGGTCCAGGAAAGAGGCGGAGTCCGCAGAGAGCCGCTCCTCAGAGGGGACAAGAGGGAACCCCGAGATGCACGTGCCCGAGGCCAGTTGTTGGTGCAGCAGGATGGGGGCCAGCTCTGTGGTCCGGAGCCACGGCCCGGCTCTCCCCCGCCACCTAGTCACTGGACAATGAACTTTCCAGCGGCCGACAACACCGCCTCCTGGTCTCTCGAGAGGATTAGCACTCAGTCTAGAGTTCATTGTCGCTGGGCTGCATCCCCCATCAGCCCACGTCCAAATGCCCACGTCCGAATGCCCAGGGCCTGTGACCAGGACCATGCTGGAACCGTGCTCATGTCCAGATGGAGGATGGGGTTGGCGGGGCCCTGGCCGATGCCTGTGTCCTTGTAGGAGGAGGGTCGTTTGGCACAAACACAGACTGAGGCCAGGTGACGATGAGCAGAGACGGAGGTGAAACATCCTCCAGCCAAGGCCCTCCTCCCCCCCCCCCCCCCCCGGATTTCTGGCCCTGGCGGGAACCGGGAGAGGCAAAGAGGACGACCTTTGGCCCCCAGATGTGGGGGAGCACGCCTGTGGGGTGTCAGGGTGGCTCAGGCACATACAGGAGTTCTCAGCGACGCTGCTCCTGTCCAGGGTGTCCCGGTCCCACGGGCTCTGTTGTCAGCGAGTGACAAGACCGCGGTGTGGATACAGCTGCACCGAGGCCAGGCCAGTGGCAGGGACAGGGCCCCGTGGCATGGAGACTCGAACCCTGGAGTCTGAGCTCTCTTCTCCCAGGGGGTCCTGGTGGCTCTGGTTCAGGAGGGGCCGCTGTGAGGAGAGCAGCAGGAGGCGGGGCTCCTGAGCTCCACTGGGGACCCTGCTGGGGCCTCAGGATGCAGGGCTGCCGGGCCTGTGGGCTCGGACTGGACCAAGAACACTGACTAGTTGGCCCTGGGCCCAGGCAATAGAGAGGGGTGTGTGAAGTGCTTCGGGGCGTCCTGGGCACAGCGGCTGTCTGCCTGGCGGGGATGCTGGGGAGCGGCAGGGCGGAGGCCTTGGCTGCGGGAGGGAGCCCAGCTGTGACTGCGCCTTTCCCTCTCACCAGCCCCAGGGAATTCGCAGTTCGACAGATGCTGGATCTGAGCTCCTCCCTCCCAAGTGCTCACGGTCCGACATAACCCGCTGATGGAAGTGAGAGCGCGTCTGAGGGTTCTGGGCAGCGGGCAGCACAGGGCGGTGCCGGAAACTCGCTCCCAGGTGCATCCGACAGACCAGCGCGAAGCCGCCTCCAGGGGCAGTGAATTCAAACCCCTCCCGAGGCTCCAGTGACGAGGAGGCGAGGACCCCAAGCCTGGGCGCGGGAGGGCTCTGAGGGCTCCCGCCGGGGCTCAGCGAGAGCGGCTTGGACCTGGCCTCCCGGGGTGGCCTCTGCCTGCCCCTGTGGTCTCGGTGGAAGAGGGAGCAGAGGCCGGCCTCCGTGCTCACGGCAGACATGAGCGTCACTGCGGCCCGAGGGCCCGGGCCTTCCAGGGCGGCTTCCCCTCCGGGGAGGGCAGGTGGTGACGGTGTAGGTCACTGATGGCGGTTCCTTGGACACTCGCACCGCCAAGCCCTGGGCTGGGTCCCACAGGCGAGGAGGCGGGTGCGAGGCCTGGGGCCACGGAAGAAGCCACCGCAGGGCCTTGGTTAAGTCCCAGCCAACGACTGGAGGGAGAGCATCGGCGACCACTTGTCAAATGTAAACTAGCGTTTTGGTTCTTGGCCTGTGTCTGAGGAGGTGTCTGTGGCAGGAGCCTGTCCTGTGCCTCCCACGTCTACAAAGGAGGCTGGCCGTTTGCAGGCACCCAGCCGGCTCCGCGGGAGGAAGAGGCAGCGGAGCTCCAGTGGGTGGGTCATCCGTCCCAGGACGATGCCCCCGCTGCCAGCCCTGCGCATGCAGACACCTGATACCCTGAGACCTGCTTGCAGGATGGAAAGGCTGGCGTGGGGCTGGGATGGGAGGTGTCGGCCCCTGGAGGCTGGAGGTCCAAGGCAGCCTCTGCTCACGGCACGTTCTGGGAGGAGACAGGCAGCCTGCCCCGACGAGAGCTGGGCCGGGACGTGAGCTGAGATGAGGTCAGAGAGCAGAAGTCTCCCCCTCCCCTTAGGCCCACGCACCGTGTGCACCACTTCAAGTTTCTGAATCGCTGTCTTAGTTCTAAACAGTCTTCCTGACGGAGCGGGACGCTCACGCTGCACGTCCGGAACATGCCCTTCCTGTGGCTGCCCTCCGCTCTGCCCTCTGTGCTCATGTGGCTCTGCAGGTGCTCACAGTGTGCAGCCAGCATAACAGAGCAGGGAAGGAACAGCTTGAACCCTGGCCCCCACACGCCCCCCAGCATGGTGTCTGTGGGGCCAGCAGGAGCCTCAGTTCCTCCGCACACCCTCCCAGCCCGGTTTCTGAGGAGTCAGGACATGAAGCCCATGGACGCACTGCCCTCTGACTTGTCCACCAGGATCCTGACCCTCCTGCAAGGAGCCTGCTCAGCCACTGACTCAACAGAACGGGCCTCTTCCGAGACTGTCTGACTGCACAGCGTTCCCCTTACGTGAAGCAGGTTAAAACGAACGGGCCGACGGCTCTTCTGGGAACTTCCTGCTCTGTCTTTGGCTCAGCCATTCAAGGCGAGGCCCTAGCCCAAGACCAGCCTTGTCCCCGGGGCCACTGCGTAGCTGCACCTGCAGAGATCCCGTTTCTCACTGTGGCCCCTGCCCAGCCCTGGACACGCATCCTCGGTGTGGAACGCACATGCTTTCCCAGCGGGCCTCACACAGGGAGAGCTGAGGCGGGTGCGCTCGTACACCTGCCTGCCTGAGCCCGCTGCGGCCTCCAGGAAGGCCGGCCAGGGGCACTCACCTGCGGTGTGTGAGGAAGCTGCCGCTGACGTGCCCGGAGCCATCACATCCGGGAGTGGGACAGGACATGCCCTCCGTCTTGACGGACTTCCAGGAGAACTGGGAGCCATTGAGGTACCCGTCCTTTTGCCTCTTGGCCGCCAGGGGGCAGCCGGAGGCGCTGCGGTGCGAGGCGTACTTCCCGGTGATGTGGCCCTGGCCGTCACACCCGGGAACGGGGCACCTGAGAGCAGACAGAGGAGACACGCTTTCCTGCCTGGCCTCACAGAGCTGGTGGCCTCTCAGCATGACCTCACTCCACGCCTCTGTCAGGCAGCACGCAGACGGAGAAGGTAGCTGGGAGCACCACCGCGGGATGGAGGCATTTCCCCGACGCAGAAACCCGTCTGTCCAAGGCCGGTGTCTGCTGATGAGATTCCACCGCTGGGCAGGACCACGGCTTTTGTGGAGGAAATATGTCAGGACAGTGGGAAGCTGCAGGTTATTTTAAAAGAGGCTATTGCATAAACTCGTGTTCTCCCAGGAGCTGGAACACGTTTGTTTGGCCATGTTCTCCGGAAGCAGGAGAGCGGGTTTAATGGAGGCCCCTGGGACAGTGTCAGCACAGAGCATGCCACGGGGACATCTGGGTAATAACTGGAAAGGCATGGGCTGGCTGCAGCTCCCAGAAGTTCTTCTGGAACTTCTCACGAGGCTACAGCAAAAGGCCGCACACAGCCGGGCCGCAGACACCATTTTTTCTTAAAACAGTAAAGTTACATGCTATACAATCTGCATTGCCTATTTATTTTGATACATTTTAATAATTTTATTTTAATAACAATTTTTGCAAAGACACAGAGTGAGGTTAAAATCTCATGGAGACAGCGCCAGGCTTATCGTATGGATGTTTGAGACCCAGGCTCACTGGGCGCCGGTTCAGGGCGAAGGCCTGGGTGAGTGAAAGGGCACACGCTCGGCTCCGCCCCCCTATGCCAGGAGCCTCGGTCCCGTGAGCGTGGGTGTAGCTACATGATTTCCTGAGCCAGGTGCCAGCTCAGTGCTCACCCTGATACTGTGTTCAATACCTGCCTCTGCTTTCCCGGATATAGACTGTGCTTTGCCTGGGGGAAGAGGGCCTTTTGGGGCTTTACTTGCTCAGAACATCAAGCTGATGGGTATTTGCAAAGCACGTCAACTACCACGTGGACATCGGTTTGGTTTGGCTTCAGTGTTTCCCAAAGTGTGGTACGCGTACCCCCAGGGGTACGGGAAGAGTTTGGTGGGGGTACGCATTGCACTGTGCTTAGCTGCGCCTAATTCTACATTCTCATGAGTACGGGGGATACTCAGCGTTACGAAAATTATAGAAGGGGCACACATATGTCAGAAGTTTGGGAAACACTGGCTTAGAAGATCTGACCTTGCAGCTGATGGACATCTCCAAGCATGTCCTCCCCACCAGCTCCCACTCACTCACTCCCACATGTGCCCGCAGGCCCCCCACCCCCCACCCCTCCCGCACGCACACCTGATGGGCTCCTGGTCCTCCTTGTCCTCCTTGCTCTGCGCTATCCGGATGCCGCTCTTCTTGGCCCGCGGGCACCCTGAAAGGCTGAGGAGAAGCACGGGGTCAGCATCTGCCTGCACCAGCCTGGGCTCCGGGACGGGGTTCTCCCAGAAAACAAAACTGGGGTCCTCCCTGGCAGCCCCTCTGGCTCTCAGAGCATCCTCCTGCAGGGGCCTGGCCTAGCGCACCGACCGCCCCAGGTCCGCACATGGGGCCTGTCTCATGGGCGGGCGGGGCGGCGTTCCAACGCGCAGACTGGCGGTCTGTCTGGATGGCTCACTTCTTGCTGATTTCCACGCTGACGGAAACGGAGCGCTTTCCTACCACCAGCGGACCACCCAACCCCCCGGAGAGCAAACTGAGCATTGATCAACATTTAAAACTCCTGTTTTCTGCTTAAAACGTGGAAATGAAAACCCGCTGCTCATGCCAACCCAGCACGGAGCGTCCCCGCAGAGCCAGCAGCTGGAGAGCGTCTGCTGTCTGGCGCTGGGCAGAGGCGGAGGGGAGGGCGCCAGGACGGCCCTTCTCTCGGGTGAGCCTCGCGGACACTCCAGACGAGAGGCCGTGTCAGACGAGGTGGAGGAGCGAGGAGGTCCGCCAGGTGTGGCAGAGACGGCTCGGTGACCTCAGACCTCACTCCCACTTGGGTCTGCGTGTGATGCCTTCTTTAGGGTCCAGCACGAAACCCAGCTGAGCTGCTCTGGCTTGAGGTGGACTTCGTGCCTCTGCACCTCAGCGGTGGTGGGAGCTGGTCGGGGGAGGGCGGCCCTGCCTCTGGGCGGCCGTGGGCTCCGGAGGAGCTGGCTCTCGGGATAAGGCTGCCCCTCCTGTCCAAACAGCGGGATCTCCTTCGTCAGTGGGTCCAAAGGGACGTGAGGAGACTCGGCCGCTCACCCCCTCCCTCCTCTGTGGACCCGCCGGGGCCACAGGGGACCCTCAAGCAGTGACGTGAGCAGAATTCACCTGTCCTGTCAGGGCCTCTGACCCCCGGGAATGAGGCTGTGGCCCTTCCTGCCTCCGTTCAGCTGCCCAGAGCCTCTCTCCCACAGACTGGGTGTCCCGCCCTCGCTGGGCGGCACCTGCCCTGTCCTCCTCGCTGCTGCCCTTCCCTCTGCCGTGCGCTTCGGTGCCTCCCCTCTCCCCACCTTCTCTGGGCGGCAGCCACCGGCTCCCAGTCCCGCACCACGCGCTCACAGGACTCACACGGGTTCACCGCGGCCTCCATGCGCCTGTGCGGGGCTCCAGCACCCGGGACCTCCCGGTCCTCACAGCACGTGGAATTCGGGTGCTGCTGCTGCAGCAACTCGCCTGCTTGACGTTTTACATTTAACTGGAATTTTAAGTCCAGTTTCACTGTGTTTGCTCTAAACCAACGATTTAACTCTGGCTACGCTCTCTGGAGGTAACCCTGAGGCTCCCCGTTAAGACGCCTGTAAACCAGCTCGGCCCAGGAGACGCGCCCTGGTGTGGCCCCGTGGCGGGGCCTGTGGCTCTGGTGACGTAGTGGGCGGCTCTGGCTGCACCGCAGCCCCTGCTCAGCACCTGCAGAAGCTCCCGCAGAGTGCACTCTCCAGCCCACGACGGGGGCAGCGCCAGGCAGGAGTGGGGGTGGCAGTGGGACCTGGCGTGAACACAAGCCATGCCAGCCAGCCAGCGGGTATCCCTGGTGGGTCACTGGGTGGGCTGGACCTCTGACCCGCCGGCAGCTCACGGCTCTGAGAAAGACCTTCCTCCGAGGGCGGAGGGCCGCGGGAAAGGCGGACGCACCTCGGCGTTCTGACTCTCCGCTTGGGGGAGGGGCCCTCGGGCAGAGGCTCGCTGCCGGACTGCCCGTCCTGCTGAGATGTGGCCAGTGGCCGCTGCAGGACGCCCTGTGGCCCGCTGTCCAGTGCGGCCCTGTTGCCCCCCACCGACGGCTCTGCTCAGAGAGACCTTGTCCCCCCGGCGGTGGCTCGTTCTCCCGGACACGGCGAGAGGTTCTTCTCGGGCCACGGGGCGAGGCCACCCTGCGCAGACGTCGTACCCAAGGCGCTTTCGATCTGCGCCCAGCACAGCCGGGCCTCGCGGACGCTCGCCGGATGTGGACTCGTGTCGGCTCGCTCAGAATGGCCGCTCTGCGCCGCGTGGGGGTGCTGCTTTCTCCGGAGCGACAGCACATGCCGTGTGTGCTTCGGCATTCTCCTGCGGTCAGCTCACAGGACTGGTCAGCCTGCGGTCAGCTCTGAGGCCCGGCTCACAGGACTGTGCGGCCTGCGCTCCAATCTGAGCGGGAGGGTGGCGGAGAGCCTGCGCCGCAGGGGCTTCCTCAGAGGACTGTCCTCCTGGGTCTTCTCTCTCAGCTAAGGACACGCTCCCGTACCCCTGCCTTTGGAGCTGCGGGTGGAGCCAGCTCAGAGGGAGCCCTGCCCCGGGCGGGAGGGGGGCCTGGGTCTGCCCCAGGGGAGGCGCTGGGTGACCCGCAGGCACCGCTGCTCCTTGTGGCCTTTTACCAGGAGTCCGCGGGTGCCGGGCTGGGCCCAGCAGTACCGGCAGGAGGGGGACGCGAAGGGGGGGTTTAGGGGAGCAAGGAGCCCACGTACCTTCGGTGGGAAGCATAGTTGCCGGTGATGTGCCCGGAGCCGTCGCAGCCAGGGGTGGGGCACCTATGAGCAAACACACACAGGGCGGTTCACCGAGAGGAATGGAATGCCTGGACAATGGCTTCTCACTTCTCCTCACGCTTCACGTGAGGAGGGCATGTAGCGGGCTCCGGCTGCCTGGACCTGGTTCCCCACCACCGCAGAGACTACCCGGGGCCGCTCTCCTCCCAGCCCTGTGCCACCCTCGGGGTCCCGGTGCCCCGCACCTGCCTGGGATTCAGTCCCTGCGGTCTGTCCCCTCCAGGACCCGCCGCCCCGGCCCTGGAGCCGCTGCATGCGGGCACCACAGGCCTGGTACCACCTCAGCACACACGTGAGGCCAGGCTCTCCCTTGGACCTGTGTGCCCAGGGGTCTAAACCGCCAGGCCCAGGATGCGACACTCCGTGCTCCAGACTAACGGGTCCACGGAGGCAGCAGCTGGCTCTGGCCCTGGCCCTGGGGTGAGACCCATCGGTCAGACCCAGGGCAGGTGTGATTTACCGTACCGTCCTGCTGACTTTCGCTGACTCAGGGAGCGTCCGCCTCACCTGACCGGGCGGCCAAGGCAGCTAAGAGGCTTAGGTCGGCCCCAGCGCCTCCTGCCTCTGCCTCCCCTCCTAGCCAGTGCCAGCTGTCTTCTCTACCAAGCTGCCTGGCGCTAGCGGGGAGAGCATGGCTGAACGTCCTAGTTATTCTCCTCCCCAGCCCTCCTCAACATGCCCTCTCGGGGACAACCAGACAGTCCTGCAGGGACGGCTTCTCTCTAACTGCCTCAGGTGCATCTGTCCCTGCCAGACGTGGAAACTCCAAGGACAAAATCACAAATCTTAAATACTGAGCAGGTGCAAACTGCTCCTCAGAGCTCGGGCTTCCCACTCGGAGCGCCTCCCCGGACGCGGTGCTGAGGCCAGTGCAGGGCCTGCTCACAGCCGGACGCCCTCCAGCCAGACCAGCGTGCGGAGGGGAGTGGAGACGCGTGAGCCTGGACCGCGCTCAGCTCTGGGAACGCCACGTTTGCCAGTTGGATGGATCAACCATTTTTGGTTCTTAGAAACTGTCAAATTCTCCTTTAGCCCCAAGAGAGGGGACACAAAGCTAGGTCTGAGGGTGTAGAAATTGGTAGTTGCCATATTGCCCTAGAGCCATGGTCAGCACACCGTGGCTCGCAAGCCACACGCGGCTCTTTGGCCCCTGGAGTGTGGCTCTTCCACAAAATACCACAGCCTGGGCGAGTCTATGTTGAAGAAGTGGCGTTAGAAGAAATTTAACTCTCAAGAGAAAAAAATTTGGCTCTCAAGAGAAATGTCAATCGTTGTCCTGTTGATATTTGGCTCTGTGGACTCATGAGTTTGCTGACCACTGCCCTAGAGGTTAAAGCTTAAGCTCTCGCTTGTGCTGTCAGAGAATTACAAGCGACCGCGTGGAGGGCGTGGAGAAGCCGCTGGATCCCTAATGCAGGAGCGCGAGGAGCAGTGAGGGTCAGAGCAGAATCAGGGGCGGAAACAGCCGAGGTCTGATTGTTGCCTCGACTGCTGTTCAGGTGGCAGCTCTTCGGCCTGTCACCAGGTGTCCTGTCAGGGCCAAGTGATGGCTGCCTGAGGGAGGGCTGCCTGAGGGATGGCTGGAATGACCGGACAGCGTGCTGTGCATGGCGCCTCATGGGGCGGCCAGCCCAGAGCTTCCCCCCTGGGGTGGAGGGGGCATGCAGCACGAGGTAGTCTGACAGGAGCTGGGCCTCAGGGGTTTCCATCTGGAAAACGGACCAGAAGCAGGAACCTTCGTGCTGGCCAGTGACACACACTTGGCCTTGCTTTTTGCTTAAAAAAAAAAAAAATCCTAAACTTTTCCTACTTTGTGAACTTAGTAAAAATTTATTTAAAATTTATTGATTTTTACCATGAGTATACATTGTTTTAAATGCCATTTTCTATGGGGACAGGAGGAAGGCGACATTATTCTGTTCAAGTTTAAAGTGAGGCATTACAACCAAAATCATACAAATGAAAACCAGATTTTACTAAGTAAAAAGGATTTTCAAAGTAGTTTCTATGTGATTAAGCCATTTACAAATTCATCGTGTGATTTAAAAAGAGACATTTAAAATGTCCTTTATCACCATAAAAACAAAACACTGATTTGGCTCGTTTTTGGAGCTTTCATTCCTAGAAAGAGGCCTTGCTTTCTGAAAAGGTCTGTTTCAGTTAGGCCGCTGGCCTGCCCCCTGCTGGCTGCGGTGGGGCGCGTGTGGAGGGATGGGGAGAGGACTGCCAATTGGCCAGGACTCCTCCTGCTCACCAGTCTGACCTCAGTGCAGGGGGGAGGAGGGTGCCACAGCACCCAGGACCAGGGTCCTGCCCGCCTCCTCCCCGACACAGCCTCTCCCGGTGCTGCTGGGCCCGCCAGGTGGGACGGAGAGGTTTCCCAGAATGCCTTTTCCTCACAGCCCTGCCTGTTAGCCTGCGTGTTACTGTTCCCGGCTGCAGGCCTTTGAAACTCAGAGCTACCTGTGCTTTCCTCACGAAGAAATCTCAACGTTCAAAATTCTGATTTCTCCCCTCCGCCATTGCTCAGCTAACAAAAGGGGTCTTGGGTTCCAGGTGGGGATGACGGGCTACAAAAGCCAAGGCAAAAATGCCTGTACATCGCCCAGCCCGGCCCACGCCCCGCCAGGGGGGAGCTGAGCGGGACCCCAATCCCGCAGACAAAGCGTGGCAGCAGCACGCGCCTCGAGGCTTGGGTTTGAAATGGCAGAGGAGGCTGCACTGACTGGGTTTCCATGGAAACTTCCGGGCACAGGTTCTCCTGGGGAGTGTCGGGGGGGGGGGGCCCAAAAGGGCCCGCCCCTCAGTGTCCCTGGCTGCCAGGCGTTGCCACGACAATGGCACCGAGTCTATTTTAAGCCCCGATGTTAGGGGCGTGCGGAATGAAGCCCTCGCTCCCCGTTCCGTCCTCCCACTCCGCGGGTGCCATCGGTAAACCACCGAGAGAGCACGTGTCCTCTGAGTGTTTGTCCCGGCCCTCGGGGTGACCACGCCCGCTGCGTGATGCCCCAGAAGTAAGACAGAAAGGAGTTCTGGGAACCGTATTATCATCTGGCCGGAAACGCTAGTCTTTTACAGACGTTTAAGAATGGTGATGGAGAGTCATGGGGATAGAAAAGCTTTAAATGCGTTTAAGTTTTTCAGTGTCTGGGCCACGTCTAAAAGCAGGTCAGGCCACCCCAGCTTGGATTTCTCACGTCCTGAGCCAGCCCTTCTGCGGCTGAGGCTGCGGCAGATCCGAGACGCTGGAGCCCGGCCATGCCCCTCCGAGTGCCTCCTGCTTGGGCTTCCTCTACACGCTGGCCACCAGCACACGGGTTCTACTCAGATCCATCGAGGATGGTCGCTGACCACCTGACACGGAGGTCGTGACGTGCACACCTCACTGTCGGAGAACTCGCGCCTATGCCTGAGCGGCACCACCACGAAGCCCTGTCCCCCGCGCCGCTGACCAAGGTGGCTTGCCCTCGGTGTTGCCGCTTCTCCATCACATAGCCTACACTGGTGCCGCTTCTCCATCACAGGCCACAGCCTCGGCACAGGGTGCCGCAACGCCAGGAAGTCGAATTGCCACCTAATTACCCACGAGAACATCCCTATGCCTCCTCCAGATGGGGCCAGCCCCCTGCCGCCAAGGTCAATGTGAGGAGTCAGGAACATGAAGGTGAATGCAAAGTCTCACACACAGGACGAGAGCACTGCCCTGTGCCTGCGGGGTCCGGGCTGGCCCATTCAGCTGCCCGCCCACTGACCATGCCCCGCGGGGACAACCAGCCGCACACCTGCCCAGCCCGAGCCCAGGGCCGGGACACACGGAAAAGCATGACCCACGCTCCCCGAGGCATTTCAGAGACCCTTCCACAGCCTTCCTGTTCCTTTCTCCCAGGCCACTCCAGCGAGGGGACTTACTAAGTAAAACACAAAACACAAAGAAGTACCATTTTTTTTCTTACTACCCTCGTTTCAAGTAAATCATAAAAATGTAAAATTAAGCCTTATTGATGGTAGTAAAATCCATCAGTGAACTGGAATGATTCAGGCTTCATATATAAAAGCCGTTGCCCAATATGTTTAGAAGTTCAATTTGAAAGCTTTTTTTTTTTTTTTTTTTTTTTGCCTAAAGAGATATAACTCTGGAAATGTATTTCTTTATTTTGATATTTTTGTCACACAATTAAGAAAAAAAAAATCAAACACAGAAAAATAAAAAATAAAAATACAGGGTGTCCCAAAAAACATATATACACTTGAACAGCGGAGAGCTCACTTTTGAAAGTAAAATGCATTTTAGTTAAAAATGGCCTTCTTTTGGGGACACCCTGCATTTTAAATGGAAAGATAACACACAGTGATTTTCACGCTGCACCTACACAGCACTTCCCCCCTGCCCCCCAAACACACATCGAGAAAGCAGGTCACTTCAGAGTGCCCAGTTTCTTACACATTTTCCCCAAAACTCAGGGAAGACGAGACCTGAGAGACACAGACACTTCCTCCTGGGAAGATCACTTCCCAGCAGGTGTGCTCCGTGTCCCTCCCACCTCCTCCTGCCTGAGCCTCGAGTGGGGCTGCACCTCGTGGGCCGTGGTGCCCGCGCTTCTGACAACCACACACCAACACGGACAGACCCTGAGCCCGGCGGAGCCAGGGGAGCCTGCTCCTGGGCCGTGTAACGCGTGGACAAAGCTCACCTTTCTCTCGGGTTCTAAGTTCTCCCTTTGGAAATGACACTGAGAACAAACACTCGCGGGAAGGACTCGAAGGACCTTCCCATCAGCTAGAAGGTCTCGGTGGTCCCGTGGCCTGTGGATGAGTCAGGCTCAGGCTGCGAGAGCGGAAGGGTCGTCTCGGGAGGAACTCAGCTGTGGGTTGAGGGGCCGGCGTGGCGTGGCCGGGCAGCAGGTGCAGAGGGAACGGGCGGGTCCCAGGGCGCCGGGCAGGCGAACCAGGGCAGCCGCACACTCTGCCACGGCCCTGGGGGG